ATTCTTTTTAGATATTTTTACTTTAATATAATATAATATATAATTTTTATAATTATTATTTTTAAAATATTTATTAAAATGGGATGAAATAATAAAATATAGATATTTTTAATCATTTATGATTGAATTTGCAGTAGACAAACAAGGACTAAATTAAAGAATTAAGTTTACGGATGGATTTCAAAATTTTAATAAATATAAAACGACTCGAGGTAGTTTAATTAAAATTTTTTAAATTTTTTAGTTTAATTAATTGTTGATATAAATTGTCTCAGTAATAATCATAGATGAATCATAGATGTATAAATTGTATCAGTAATAATCATAAACTTTGTCATTAAAATCCGAACTTTTAGATAGTCAAAATTCATATATCTTCTTCCTAAGTTATTCATTTTCCTTCTCATCAGCTTTGAAAGATTTGCGGAAAAACATATCCAATTGGAAAGATTCATCAGAAAATAAGGCCTAATTTCAACAAAAAAGATTAAAAAATATTATTTGCTGAAAATAAAAATAAAATCAGTTTAAATTATTGAACAAAAATTTATAGTGAAATAAAAATAATATTTAATTTTAAACGATTTAAAATTAAGAATCAAATTCCAGCAATTTAAATATTAATTGTAAAAGGAAAATATTTGATATTAGTTGTGAAAAATAGGAAAAAGTTTTATCTATATATTTCATTTTTCTGATATATTTAGGATAAAATGTTTCTACGCTCTAGAAAACAAACATTATAAATATAACATAATTATTATACACAAATATATACACAATTATCGAATTACAAAAATATAGTGGAATCATTTTTTTATTGACATTCAAGATAATAAATATTTGCAAAAATATATCATTTAAATCGTATAAATTTGTATGAAAGTAAAAATTAACAATATTTTAGAAAATTTTTTTCAGTATTAAAAATCCATAGAATAGATTTTGATTTTTATTACATGTATAATAATAAGAAATCATAATGATATTATAATTTATTTTGTTTATTCTGTTTATTTTTATAACAATAAAAGAATAAAATAATCGAAAATGTAATTAAACAATTTTAGATTTTATACATTAAACAATAAACTTAAAAATTTTATAAATTTATCTAATATATTTATGTAATAAATTTATTGTAATCTCTTAATATATTTTTTATAATCCAATATAATAATATGTGAATTATTCTATTTATGTTTCTTAATGTTGTTGTTTTTGCTTAGTATTTAGCAAATTGAAATTAAAATTATTAAAATATGATATTTTTCTATAATAAAAATAAATAGTTAATTAATATCAATCTCATACTAAAATATATAATCTATTATATAACTTATAATCTTCATTTATCTACATATTTAAATGTTTTAATAATTTATGGATGGAAATATACATTTAAATTCTTATTATTTTAAAGATTTTATTTTATAAAATAAATTTTTTTTTATTCTTTTTTTTTCATTGTTAATTTTTTTTTTAATTTTAACGTTATGCAAAAACTGTCATAAATTTTCGTTTCATATTTTACCGCGAATTCATCTTGTAACGATATTTTATTATATATAAAATATATAAGTCTGAAAGTATTCGTAAAACGTTTGTTGTAGATACGATCGAACCCTCGTGGCGATACACAGGATAATATGAAATCGGTAAGAAAATCCTTAATATCAATCATTCATTCCTAATTCGATTGTTAAATGATTTTTTATCGAATTATTTCTTTCGATACTTTTTTATTGGTGCAAAGGGATAAATTTTATATAAAAGAAACGCCCACATATATAAAAATTAGAATATAATTCTTAAATTATTATAATAATCTATAGTAATAAGTTAATTAGTTAAGTTAATAAGTTATTAATCTATAGTAATATCTATAATAATAATATTTAATGAAATCAATGAGTAAAAAATATTATAAGTATTCTTCAAAATTAAACAAAATTATTTCAAAAATTAATTAACTCATTAAGACTGAACATAATGTACTTATTAATGTAATTTGCAATTTTTTCTTATTGAATTTAAATTATTAAATTGTATTTTTCTATATTTTTGTATATCTATTTTATTTAATATATATTATTAATATAAAATATTTTTAAAAATTTCCATTGTCCAAGAAAAATATCTTAAATATTTAAAATAATAAATAATATAAATGTATATTTATATTATAATAAAATTATTAAAAATTATTTTATTATACATATTTATATTCTCTCTTATACTAAATCAATTATGTTAAATCATTAACCAATAAACATAAATACATAAAATAAATATAAGAAATGATTTTCAATATGTTGTAAATGTTTGTCTAATTAAAGATTTATAATTACAATTTCTATCGATTATTTTTTAAAATAACTAAACTTAAATAAACATATCATAAATTGAACCAACGCAAATAAAACCAGCGATTGCTAAGTTGAATTTGTTCTAAATACACAATATATATGCATGTAACATCGATCGTTTATAGGAACTTCTTTGATCTATGTTAAATATTTAACTATATATGATCCCTTTGCGCCTGACTTCAACTTCTAAACAAGATTGCAACTGGTTTCATAATGACAATCCTTTTATCATGGAGTTCGACTTCTATGTTGAAGTTCCATTTAAGATTTGGAACTGAGTTTAAGGCGATTATGAAACTGGCGGTAAACAGGAATTTTGCAAGATAACGTGATAAAATAGTTGGCAATTGTTCCATTTCATTAGAGGATTGACAACAGTTAAAATGATAAATGATCGAAAAATATGAGCATTTTTCTCATCATTCATTTTTCTTTATTTTTTTATTAGAAAAAAAATTGTAATATTTAATTTCAGAAAAATATAATTTTATAAAAAATCTACATATTAAAATTTTGATTAAATTGAAATTAGAATTAAATATTTGAAAAAATTATTAGTAATTAATCATTTCGTTCAGATAACAGTTTTCTTTTTGAGAATAATTCATATATAACTAATTATGAAATTCACTTATCAGGAAAATAATATACAAACTTCTACATGTACTGTTTAATTAATTTATAATTTTATTTAATAACAAAGTTCAAGATTTATTAATTAATCAATGTTCAAGTTAATTTAAATAATTAATCATTCAATTTTTATATTCAATACCAACTCCAATTATTTGTTTTCCAAATAATATTAAAAAAAAATATATGAAAAATAATAAAAACATTCTCAAATTAACCTCACAATTTTTAAATTGTTTTAAAATGATTTGTTAGAAAATTTTGTAATAAAAGAATTAATTACTTTTGCTCAATCTTTCAGTTAACTCTCTTTTCATATATTTTAATGAGCTTGTTTTTGTTTTTTATAATTAAATTTATATTATAATTTCAAATAATTTCAAATTTTTATTTAATTTATAATTTCAAATAATTTTTTTTTTACACATAATTGCTAATATTTAATAAGCATTTCTTATAGATTTAATAGTTGAATATGAATTTGCAAACCATTTTTTTTTAGAATTTTAAAAAAAAATTGCCATTTTTCAATTTTAGAAATATTTTATACTTTCATTATAATACTTATTTAATTATTCTTGACATGAAATGACTGTGTGGATTCTTTCAATATAATATAAATAGTTATTAGATTATAAATATCTAAATATATTTAAATAATAACCAAATAATGAAAACACGCTCATTTTTGTTAATATTTTTCAATTTATTTTAAAAACTAAAAGAAAAAACCTAACCATATCATACAATAAAGCATCTTTTTATTAAATATCAAAAATTATAAAATTTGTTTATATGTAAAAATATGAAGCTATAAAATCATTTTTATTTTCAATATAGAAATTCAGAAAATAATTCAGTAAAATGTATAGTAATGGCAACTGTATTTAATGACAGCAATCATTTTACCTTTTAACCAATTTTTATGAATTAGAAATATGTTGTTTAATATCATTTTTTCGTTTATATATACTGTTAATCGGTTTTAGTTTTCAAATTATTTAAAATATATTTTTTACAAATATATTTTTTACAAATATATTTTCCATACATTCCCTTATATTCTTATATAAGCAGTCACTTAATACACGATATGCATCTTAGGTTCGCTATGTCAGTCGTCCTCTGATTCAAATACATATTTACAATCTATCTCTTGATGAATCGCAGTATAATTTAGTTAAACTTTATTTTAAACTTTATTTTAGTTAAATTTTATTTTAAAGTATCAAAAATTGTTAATTTTTTTTATTTCTTCTAATAGCTTTTTCAATCTTTTAAGAATCTACTGCTTCAAAAATTATTTGTATATAAAGTTATTGATTTTAAGCATATTTGACAAATTATTAGAATACCATTTGGTTTGGTTATATTATCCAGAATTATATATTTGCATTAAGATGACGATCATAAGTGCAATAAGTCAAATTTGATAGCATAGATATAATTCACATATTTTTTACAAATATTTTTCTAATTTGTTCGAATAAGAGCAGCACGTCTATAAAGATTGCATAATATTTATAAATTTTTTTGTAAAAATCCACAATTTTTGAAAAATCGATTTTAAAAAGAGATTGCAATTTTTCAACTTTGTAAATGTTTTTTTCATAATTTTTAATTGTTCTTGACACAAAATGATTATATGTTCTCTCTCGAATAAAATGATATAAATAGTTATTAAATCACAATCTAAATATATTTAAATAATGATCAATCTTAAAAAAATGCTTAAAATATAGTTATTTTTGCTCATATTCTTAAATTTACTTCAAAAAATAAAAGTTTAGAAAAAGAAAAGAAAATCTAACCATGTTATGTATTAGCAATTTTTCTGCTAAGGAAAGCATCAAAAGAAGTCAATAAATAAATCATTTTTAGTTTTAATATAAAAGCAAAGTTTGACAAAACACGACGCTGATAATGATATTCAATAATAACAATTGTATTATCTATCAAAATTAAATTGAAATTATCTACAAAATTGAAATGCGATATCAGCAAATTTACAATTAATACGTTAAGTTAAACCAGTTTTAAATAAACTGCCACATATATCAAAAACAATATATGATATTATATATATATATATGATATATGACAGACTTTAATAAATATGTAATTCTATTTTTCATCTTTTTATGAATTGAAAATTTATTTATCATTATAATAAATATTGAAATATTGAAAGTGCATTATATAACAAAATAATAATTTTATTTATATTGAAACTATACAAGAATAACAAAAAAATTAAAACATCATTAAAATTATCAAATAGAATCCATGAAAAAAATACAGAAGATATATACATATATACACATATATGTAATTAATATATATAATTATATTAATACGTTATATTAATATATATAATTAATTATTATATATATAATTATCTATTTAATTATCCTCAATTAGAATATTATATGATTTCTGCTAATTCTACTGAAAAAAAAAGAAAAAATAAATGTAAGTGAGATATTAATATTCGTAGAATTCAAATCACAGGCATCAAAATTTTTATATACTCGAAGACGATTGTAAAATTTTAAATATTGATCAGGATATCAATAGTTATTTAAAATACATATAAAAATGCGGATAAATCTACTTAAATAGAAAACTGTAGAATTTGTCCCAAATATATAAAAACTGTTTAAATAGTTTAATTAAAGATTTTTAAGATAATTTCAAATAGCTTTTTTTCTTTGATTTTTTACAATGATATTTTTTGAAAAAAATTTTTGTTTCAACTTTTTTCATAAAAAATTCTCGTTTTAGCTTTGATAATAAGTTATTAACAAAAGATACTGATCAATCATATACATATAATATCAATTAAGTTTGAATAAATAAATTATGTATCGAAGCAAATTTATTGAATATTTATTAAATAAAATTATATCGAATTACACTTTATTCATATTTATTCAAATAATAAATTAATTAATTAATTATTATTCGTGTAGAATGAATAAATTGAATTTATTTGTTATTTAAAATAAATAATATTAAAATTATGATAGAAATATAAAATTTTTTTAACGATTTTTTAAATGAACACATAATACATATTTAAAATAAAAAAATGTATAATTAAATGTTACGATATACTGAATTATTGAAATAAAAATATATAAATAATTTGTCGAAATAATTATTACATTATATAAATATATTATATCATAGTATATAAATATAATATATCATATTTCATTAAAATCACTTCTTATAATTGTATAATATTGTTAGATGCAACAGACTCAAAACACTCAGATCCTTTTTGAAATTTTACATTCTTTTTATATATATGTAGATAATATGTGTCTGTAAATTTCATTATTGTATTTTTAAAATTAAAACTAAGTCTGTATTTTTAAAACTAAGTCTATATATGTTTCGCAGATCAATATTGACCAACAAACATTTATTTTTTTAAAAATATAGAAATATAATTTCTTCTTCTTCTAACATCTAATAATATAATTTATCTATCAATATCGAAGATATTACTTAATATGGATGAATCTCTGCAATCGCATGCGTTTAATTATGATGAATAGAATATAAATGATTAAATAAGTACAAGATGCAGCAACGATACATATGTAGGAAATCTTAGGATTATAAATATAATTATTTATTTAACA